TTTTTTTTTTTTTGCTATTTTAATTTCAACTTTATCATTTAGATTCAGTATTTATATTAAAGTGTTGTCAAATTTGTATTTATTCATCTAAATGTCAGTGTTTCTAGACCAACTGCATCAATCAGGAGAGGACCACAGCTTGTACTTGTATGTTGGTAATGTAACATTTATTTTTGAAACCCAAGTAGTAATACAGGATTTATGAAAATCGTGGTATGTATAAAACCTTGTTAGATGTTACCTCTTTTTTTTTTTTTTCCTTTCACCAGCAGTTTGTGAGTAGGGACCCTCTTCTACTATATTCTTAAGACACTTGAGCTATTTTTGGTTGTGCCTTAAGTCTTGTAGCCGTACAGAACTTGAGTCATTTTAGAAATAAATACATCCTTCCCTCTCCACTGAACCTTGACTCATTTAAAAAAAAAAAATCTGAACAATAATTCTAGTATCTTTTTGAACTTAAACCTGATGTGATTCAATCCGCTACTTCACTGGTGTGCAATACAAAATGATGCATTAAATTACTTGGTGAACTGAATGGTTTGAAATTATGGTTGCTAGTAATAAAAAGGTAAGGCAGTGAAAACTCTAAATGACCACAGTTTACTCCTCCTACCAGATCCAATTAGCACAGGATTTGTGCAGTATTCTCAGGCCAGATGGTGTCCATCTGTAAATGCACCTAAACTAGCATGGTAATCAGTCCTGAACATCTACCCTTCTGTAAAGTTCAAATCTAAATTTGCTTTAACAATCAAGTGAACAAATGTTAAGCTAAAGTAAGCTGAAACAAATTATCTATTGCATAGTTGTGGCTAAAGTACTTGACTTTTTTCCCCAGACTCAAATAAGCAGAGCAAGATATTTCATATTGTTTTCTATGCTGACAAAGCAATTTTGGATGTTTCAGTGCAACTATGCAATTAGATGCATACAAGACAAAAAAATAGATTACAGATGCGTGCGAAGAGAAGAGCACGAAAAATAGAAAGACAAAAGACAGTAGGATAATGGGTTAAGCAGAGGAAATAAAGATGAATCATGCTTCATAGACACAAAAATAGTGGGTTTCTATACTGCCCGAGGTATCAATGGCAGTAACCGTGATACTGGCATGAACTACACAGCCCAGTGCTTTCTAGAAAACAGGACAAGTTTAAAAAAAAAAAAAA